AGACCGACCAACCCTCACGCATTGGCTCTTTAGGCTAAAACCTTTTACTGCATTTCTTACATTATAAAAATGTTTTTCAAACTTGTTTAAGTCATTAAAAACACTTGGTGTTCGCCCAAACCAAAAACCAAGCCATCCAGCGTTCGGGTTTCAGAAACCGGCGTTCGGCTCTCGGTTATCGGCTATGGTTTTTGGCGTCCGAACCAACCGAGTGGTTTTCAACTTTTTATAATTTGTTTTCACTCTTTGGCATGTTTAAAAGGTTCTCCAACAAAAACACTTCGAAAACCATCTTTCGCTTTTGGTCGTTTGACAAAAATCATTCAAAACGGCATAAACTTGGCTAGCCGTGGTTTTCATTCAAATGACGTGGTTTTTAAAGTGTCTCACTTGATTTCTTAGCCAAATACATCATATAAGTGTTTTAAACACTTGGTTTTTACTTTGGAGAACTTTGTATTTTTCGGTCGGGTTTAAGTGCCGGTCGGCTAAGCCATGGTTCTGGGCTAGCCATCCACCCAGCGATGGGAAGATCTTCCCATCGATGGGAAAGCAGTCCCCCAGCGAAACTGACTTCCAGAACCATGCCAAACAGCGATGGGAAGTTCTACCCATCGATGTCAAAGCCTTGGTGCAACATTACCACAAGGCAGAATGCCCTTACCCAGCGATGGGAAGCTTTACCCATCGATGGGAACCCAGCGATGGGAAGGCTTAACCATCGATGGGAAGGCTTAACCATCGATGGGAAGGCATGACCGTTGCGAGTTATTTATGGCTGATTCTTTCCTTATTTGAAAGTCAACCTCCCACCCAGCGGTGGGAAGCATCTACCCATCGATGGGTAGGTGACCGTTGGCTTCAAAACTGAAGGAAAATTGGCTTACCAGCGATGGTTGAGTCTAAACATCGATGGGAAGCCAATATTCTGCAGATCCCAAATCTTTTCAATCCCATAAATCAAGCCAATCACCCCTTTAATGCATTGGTCCGTTGGAGCCTTCTTTGGCACTATAAAGAGGGGTGTTTGGGTCTGCTTTTCTCATCAATTCACTTCACAATATTCATATTATCATTGCATCCAAATCACATTATTTTCCATAGCTTTCTAGAGCCAATTTGTGTGAAGTTTGAGTTGTTCTTAAGCGTATATATTTTACTCATATCCACTCTTAAGGAGAGTCTTGTTCTTGAGTGTCTTAGTGTTGTATACACGTTAAGGGAAGCTTGTTTCCCTTGGTTGTACGAAGGAAAGGTATTTTCCTTCGGGTTGAAGTCTTGGAGTGCGGTATCTCCGAGCAAGGTTGTTGAGGCTCGTGGGACT